CTTAACCATTAAGCGTCTTGATTTCATTGTAAACAATTACCAACCAATTATATTTCACTTTTTACTATATCATGAAAGTCTTTTAATCATTCTGACCACTTAATCATTCTGCACCAAATAATTCAGCAACTATCAAACAACCACTAATTTGAATTGATATGTTTTAAATTAAGGGAAAATTACACCAAAATGGAACCAACTTTCACCTAATTCTTATTATGGGGAACCAAAATTGCACCAAAAATTAATTGATGTAATAAAAAATAAATATTAAATATCACATTCAAGTTTTTTATATATAACCAATTGTATCAATTAAATTTTTTCAATTAAACTGATTTTTTCTTGCATTAGTAAAAAACAATTTTTATTATGATAATTTGGATTTTTTTTTATAAAATGTTCAATTTGATATCTGAATTAAAAAAAAATGAGATTTGAAATGAAAAATAGATTTTATTGCATTAATTTTTGGAAAAAAACGAATTTTAGTTATTTTTTTATAATTATTTTGCAAGTTGGTTCCCCAAAATAGAAATCAGGTGCAAATTGATTACCCAAAATTACGATTTTGAAAGGTGGTTCTCCAAAATAAAAATTAAGTGAAAGTTGGTTTTATTTTGATGCAATTTTTTCTTAAACTAAAATTGGTTTGTTTAGCTATTCGTATTAAAATAACGTGTTTATATTTTTTAGTATTATAATAAAATAAATTAAATATACCCTTATACATTACTAAATATCTACTATTTTTTCTTTATATATCTCGAAATTAAAATTGATTTTTTATATTTTTAATATATGATTTGATTTAATTTTAAAAATGTTACATGACTTGTGAAGAGACAAGATGGGACGTGTCCTTGAAATAAATATATTGCTCTACAACAAACTCCATGTTTATTTATATTTTTAGACTTTCTTTCTATATTTTTGTCGTTTTCAAATATTATTTGTTTTTAACCTTTCGTTTCATTTTGAAGTCCACATTATTATATCACCATGTATGTATGTGTGTGTGTGTAATGAACATCAATGGGTTGTTATGGGCTTTGATGGGTATTAAAAGGGTTTTTTTAATATTGTAATGGATCTTGAAGAACCGTAATGGGTTGTAATGGAAACACTAAAACGATAAATGGACAATAAACCGAAGGTGTTCGAATAGTTCATGTTTGCGAAATTTCCACCTCCTAACAGAAAGGTTTTGGAAAATAGGGAAATTCATAAATATTTATATAAAAAAAACTTTCTGTACTTACCAACGGGTTATCGAGACATCTACCCTGTTGGGCTTATCAACGGGAATTTGACATTTATAATACCAACATCATCAATAATTAGCCCGTTCTCTATTGATTTATGACTTGTCAATATCTCGATGGTGAGTTATCGATTTTATGTTATGATTTGAAAGGTGTAAAAGTAAAAAAATACTGTATTAGCATTAGTTTCTTTGTCGCTGCTTTTTATATCTTCATCTGCAAAAATTGTCAATAACATTTTTCCTCCGACTTCATAAATAAAAAATGGGAATCATTAACAGTGTTTGTTGTTATATAATATAACATTTGGGCTATGCACCTTTCCTTCCCGTTCTCATTAGTGAAAGTTTGGTTCTAGTAATCTCTAGAGTTGTATTTTTCCGTTATTACAAATATAATCTTCTCAATTGTGCTTGTATTTCATTCTTGTCCAAAACAGCGATGTTATAATTCGATCTCATATGGTTGAACATTTGCCATGTTATACCCAAAATTCGAAAGACATAATGCATGTTAGAGATTTCGAGCTTATAACTGGAAAAAAAAAACACTAACATACATTTAAACCTTGAATACATGAATACCTTTGAGATAAGAAAGATAACATTCATTTACCGAAGTTATTTATTTATTTATTTATAATGGGAAGAAAATACTCTCACGACCCTTCTCTCTCCCTCTCTCGATCCACCTACTGTAGGCATCACCGAAAAATCACATCGCCGAGCTGCACTCAATCCACCTGTTATAGGCATCTACATTCTTTCTGCCTATCGATCTCCATTCCTCTACATGGATTTGGTGTTGTTGGTTATGAGTTTCTCTCCTCGGTCTCGATTTGGTGCTATTGAAATGAGTTTTCCCTCAATCTATAATTTGTTTTTCTTCTGAAATTCTCAAGTTTTTACCCAGGAAAATAGTACCCTTTAGTGTAAATTATTTGGAGGAAGACGACGACTTGACTTGAAAATTGTCACTATTTTAATCAGCTCAGAAGCCATCAAATCAGGGGGAGAAAGAAACATGTTTTATAAGATATTGGAAGAAAGAGTGAAGGAGAAAAATTGTGACCCCAAAGGGGATTTGATTGAGGTGGGTTTTCCAAAGGAGATCTTGATCGAAGTGGGTTCTCATCGAAAATTGTTTTTATCAAGTTATTTTTTTTTAAAGTTCAAATTGATATTTCTTTTCAATTAAAAGTCATTTATTCAACATTTTCATCAAATAGTTGTTTTATTCAACAAACATATAGACCGAGCTAAAATGGTCGTTTTATGGCATTCAAACTATTTATTAAACACAATAACTTGCCTATTGTCATACAACCAGTGTTATCAATACAGACAGCTTTATCCATACAAATCTTGATTGTAAAAACGACAATCCAAGGACTTCATAGCCAGTAATATAAACACGAGGGCTTGTTGTGTAGCTGTTGAATCCAAATTAATGAGAATGTGAGATAATGAACAATAAGTCATACCACAAAAGTTGGAGTGGAGATTATATGGGAGCAATTCATTGTAAAGAAGATATACAATCAACAAAGAACGTTAACGAAGGCAAGAGTGACCATGAACTAGATGATAGTGGTGTTATTCGAAATGCATCGTCTATGTAGCATTTCAAGTAATAGTCGCCTTAAGCAATCACTTGTTAAATAGCAAATACAACCAAAATATTTTAGAAAAACGTGTATTTTATGTAATAAGTTACGAATAATGTTCATTTTGATTTAGGCGGTGGAACACATCAATTTGGATGTTAAGTAAAGAACACTGATTGAAAATGTAATCATGTAAAGATAACATACACCATTGTTTGGCATTAAACCAAACCTAATAAACTAGTGCGGGTACTGTATTTGAAGACCAGAAAGGAGGAAACAATTTGGGGAACATAGAGAGAGATCGTAAACCAAAATGGTTTCAGTGTTTTGTCATATCATTATTCATTTGCTGGTTGTATACACAGAGAACAATAATAGTTTTAAGTGAAGAGGAGACGAAAACAATATTGTGGAATTTGAACATTTTAACAGTAGTTTAATTTAAGAATAATGTTTGAAAAATACGAGTTTGCACTACAAAAATGCTGGGTATCAGCGAGGGAAAATTCCCTCGCTGATCCGTCGCTGAAAGTCCCTTCCGTCGTTGATCCGTCGCTGATACTCCGTCGGTCAAAATGTCGTAGG